ATGCATTACGCTAATATCGGAAATATTTACAAGAGAAGATCAAATCTGAATATAAATTATTAAATGATGCATTACGCTAATATCGGAAATATTCTTAAACGTAAACCTGGTTGGCGCATCTCTTAGTATCAGTAATATGTGTCCAAAATGGTAATAAGTATGCATACCATGGTACTTTGTTGAGTACTAGACCTCATTAGACAAGTTATGAGAGAAGAATTTTTGGAAAATTTCGGGCTTATTTTGTATAATCTACGCTGCCATGAAGATGTCGATATTAAGGAACTAATATATGAAATCGGCGAATAAAGTAAAACACGATACAGAATATATTTTTTTTTCAAGTTGGTTTGATGTAGAAAGATGAGGGTTAAAGAAACGCGAAGAGGTTATAACATTTACAAAGGAAATCGTGTAAAATTGTGTTTTTCTTTTAAAAGGCTCAGTGGAGAGCCACATATATATATATATATATATATATACTAGTCGGCTGTTATTGGCTAAAATTGAGCGTGTGATTCGCACCAGCCATGTTGTTACCCTTTACACGTACGTATATATCTCTAGTATATGACATAGGCCAAGGCTACGACCATTACGAGGTGGTCGTAGTTAGATTTTTCTGTTCAGAATGCCAATGTTGTGTAGTATAGGGATGCTCGAATCGTCCCGGATTGGGGGTTGCTATGCATTGACGTTGCTATGTTGATCGGCGTAAACTATGGGAAAATAAACTTAAGTAATTAGCTAGCATAAATTAGGCCTAACGTTATTGCAATGTAACTTTGCTCTTACGTTAGGGTAGATGACAGATCTAGGCTATGTGAAAGCCTATAGTCTAGGCCAGTGGCCTAGGTTGTTTAAAATGCACAGAATCAGTTTGATCTAAAAAATCCATCACTTGTGAATGTTATTCACATATGTTTACTCAATGAAAATTTTTATTATTTTTCTACTTTCGGAATTCTGGAGAGAAAAAAAGAAAAATCTAAACCTAAAATGCCCCACTTTCTCCCCAGGAGATTCAATCGTTAATTTTCCCTATTGAAATTTACATATCACAAACCTTGTTCACTAACCATCCATCAGCCCCTCTATTACTGAAGCAAATTCAGACAAAAAGTCAAATACAACGGGAATGTCGCTCAGTGCGGTTGTTTTAGTGAAAAACCTATTTATCACTGAAAAGGAAAAATATATCAGTTGTATGGCTGAGAAGATAATGTATCCGTGGAGAATCTATCTCAACTGAGAAGATAATGTATCTGTGGGAAATATATCTCAGTAGGGTGACTGAGAAGATAATGTATCTGTGGGAAATATATCTCAGTAGGGTGACTGAGAAGATAATGTATCTGTGGGAAATATATCTCAGTAGGGTGACTGAGAAGATAATGTATCTGTGGGAA